TGGGTGGGGCCTATGATTCTACTTTGCATCCACAGGACACGACTTGAGTAGGGAGGAGTTACAGCATGTGAGTTAGGACCCTATTTCAGAAGAATAAATCCAGCACATCAGCTTTAAGTGGAAAGACAGAAGCTGAAGGGTATGTTCTCATTGTCCAACACCAGAAGAATGAGACCAACCCCCCTTCCTTAGTCTGAATGTGACATGGCACAGCAAAGATGAGCTGTGCAGCACAGCAGAGTGAAGAGCCGTACCCTGGAGCCCGGCTGTCTAGATTTGATTCTGGACTCCACCACTTCCTAGCTACGTGCCCTTCGGCAAATTGTCACTAGGCCTCAGTTTCCCTGTCTGGAAAATGGGAATAATACTAGTACCTCTTTCACAGAGTCGTTGTGAGGACTCAGTGAGTTAGCAGATGTAAAATGCTGGAATAATGTCTTCTGTATTGTAAGCACTGTCTGTAGTTGCTGAATCAGTAAGTAAATGCAATATTCTGCTCCTAAACAGTGAATCTGGTTTATCCTGGATGAGTTGGTGCATTTCTGATTAATTGCACTTCATTCAACTCTAAACAAGCCCCTAATTTCTTCCCTGTGGATTGAGGACGGGGTGAGAGGTGGGAGACAGTGTCTTTGGTGAAAGGTTGAATTCATGAAGCATCCCAAGTTATAATAAAAGTAAAAGTGGAAAGACAGAAGCTGAAGGGTATGTTCTCATTGTCCAACACCAGAAGAATGAGACCAACCCCCCTTCCTTAGTCTGAATGTGACATGGCACAGCAAAGATGAGCTGTGCAGCACAGCAGAGTGAAGAGCCGTACCCTGGAGCCCGGCTGTCTAGATTTGATTCTGGACTCCACCACTTCCTAGCTACGTGCCCTTCGGCAAATTGTCACTAGGCCTCAGTTTCCCTGTCTGGAAAATGGGAATAATACTAGTACCTCTTTCACAGAGTCGTTGTGAGGACTCAGTGAGTTAGCAGATGTAAAATGCTGGAATAATGTCTTCTGTATTGTAAGCACTGTCTGTAGTTGCTGAATCAGTAAGTAAATGCAATATTCTGCTCCTAAACAGTGAATCTGGTTTATCCTGGATGAGTTGGTGCATTTCTGATTAATTGCACTTCATTCAACTCTAAACAAGCCCCTAATTTCTTCCCTGTGGATTGAGGACGGGGTGAGAGGTGGGAGACAGTGTCTTTGGTGAAAGGTTGAATTCATGAAGCATCCCAAGTTATAAAAGTAAATAAGTGATGGCGCTGGAAGGTGGGTCCATAATTGATGGGAATGGTCCCAGGAGGTCTAATCAATGGTAGTGTTGCATTTCTGGGGACAGTGGCCATTGGACAGGCACCCTGGTTACCCTGACTAAATGCTGTCCCTCTCACATGCCACCTTTAAAGAAACTTTGTACTGTTGGCTACTATTGGTGTAACCAACAAAAGTCTGAGTTTGGAATTTGTGCAGGTTTTATAGAATCTATCCCTTAAGTATGAGACATTTTCCTTTGGTGCATGACAGCAAAATGGATTTGAGTTGTTGATGAGATTATGGCATACGCTTTTGCCTGGTATTGATTATTTTTAAACCTCCTCTTCCATCCCCAAAGCAAAGAGCCCAGCCAGCAGCGAGTAAAAAGATGGGGTTTCTCTTTCGATGAGATATTGAAGGACCAGACTGGGCGCGACCAGTTCCTACGATTCCTGGAGTCCGAATTCAGTTCAGAAAACCTCAGGTAAATCTCTGGAAGGTTTGTGCCGTATGAAGAATGTGTGTGAGAAAATTTGCATAATCAGTCTCTCCTCCTCCCTCTTTCAATAGAATATTATTAGGGTTCAAGTTCAAATTCCAGCTAATCTGGCTAAGGTTGAAATGGAGAAGGTCAAATTAAAATAAGCAACTTTGTTACCACCAGAATAGCATCTACCAACACCAGCATTTTTTCATTCTTTAAGTCCAGATGACATTTGCTCAACTCATTGGAAACATGTCTTCAATAATAATTAAATAGGCAGATTGGATGACACTATTCATCAAGTAAAACCGCAGAACCGTGGAGCTCATACTGGAGAGATCGTCCAAAGTCTGTCTCCTCCAGAACTTCCCACCCTGGGGTCCTGGGTGTCTGAAAGGCTAAACAGAAGGGAGAGGGGTCAATGGGCTCATTTCAGAAATTCAAAAAGCCAAAGTAGATATCATTCAATAACTGGAGACATAACTGTGCAAGCTGATTAAGACATGCTTTTTCCTTCTGGGGGGATTTGTATTGACTCCACATAGGGGTGACTCTGATCAGCTGATGCCAGTGGGAGCATCTGATTTCTGGTCTATAACAAATACTTTATGAAAAATGTATTAATAATTTCTGTTCGATAGGAGAAAAAAAATGAAACATTCAACACACAGGGTCCAATGTGAGAGAAAAAGCATCCTTGGTCATGAAAAACTTAGGAATTTGTAGTATATTCAGCTTTTTATCGTATTAGATTAAGAAACAGAGACACCCATGGAAAACATGACTTATCTAAGACCCCACAGTGATCTTAGCAAAATGGGGACTTCTCAATGGGTAAGAATCTCTTTTGTTTTTCTTTGAACTAGGTTCTCTTTTATATACTAGGTTAATTCCCATCTTCTGGTGCTATTTTCTTAAAAAGGATTTTGTTAATTTTTTTTTTCTTTTTCTTTTGTGACCGGTAAGGGGATCGGAACCCTTGGCTTGGTGTCGCTCGCACCACGCTCAGCCAGTGAGCGCACCAGCCATCCCTATATAGGACCCGAACCTGCGGCCTCAGCGCTCTCAGCACCGCCGCACTCCCGAGTGAGCCACGGGTTCGGCCCAAGGACTTTGTTAATTTTTACAAATATTTCTGACTTAAAAAGTCAGAGCATCGGGCCGGCCCCGTGGCACACTCGGGAGAGTGCGACGCTGGGAGCGCAGCGACGCTCCCGCCACAGGTTCGGATCCTATATAGGACTGGCCGGTGCGCTCACTGGCTGAGCGTGGTGTGGGTGACACCACACCAAGGGTTGCGATCCCCTTACCGGTCACGAAAAAGACAAAAAAAAAAAAAAGGCAAATGTTGACTAAAACAAACAAAAAAAAGATTAAAATTAAAAATCTATAAAAAAAAAAAAGTCAGAGCATATACTGCAAACAAAAGACTCTCTCCTCCAATGTTAATGTGCAAAAATCTATGTTATTTATTTGAAGTTGGTGACCCTCTTAGTCCCATACATCGATCAAGTGATGTTTATGACAGACCTATGCTGTATCAAGCCCCACAAGAGTTTGCTGAGGGATGCAAGAAAGTCAGGATGCACGATCTTTGCCTGCAATGGCCTTGTAGGTCCTTGAGGAAAAAACACAAGAAACTATTAAATCATTAAGTGTGTATAAATGAGTGTAAACTCTAAGAACCATTTTGGAAGTATTTAAGGAGAGAGGAATCGCTAGAGTAGGCGAGTCATAAGCTGGACTTTGAAGAATACACAGGCTATCGATACACAGAGAAGAGGGGAGACTATCCTGTGCTGAAGCCTGTGGGAGCACAGGGGTGGCAGTGGGACCCTCCACGCCGTAAAGTCCTGGGAGGATATGTACGTGCCAACTAACTACATATACCAGTACTTAGGAATCCATGTGTCTATTATAAACCAGATATGGTTGAGCACCTTATTTCAGGTTATGACACGAGTTCTTTCCTTATGCTAAAGCATTATTCTAAAAACATCTCAGAGCTTTGCTTCAGTTCCTAATAAAGTATTTGTCACAGAAGGCTTGACTTCTAATACTCTTCACTGGAGTGCTGCTCAGACAGCCTCCCAGGCCATGCCTCAAGGCAGGTGCTGGTAGAAAACCAGCCCTTCTGTGACCAGTGGATGCACCCAGGCGAGTCATAGTAACCAAAATTCCTCTTCCCCAAGGTGGGTCATATAGAAACCAGAACCCCTTTTCCACAAAGCCAGACATAAAAACTAGGATTATTACTCTAACCTTCCCCTGCCTTTCTGTCTAGGAGCTTACCATAAAGAAATTCTCTGACTACCCTTGTCTGATAGTAGGTCCTAAGACAACTAGTTCTCTGTATGGCCAGCTCAGTCCCAGGTTCCACCCCCAGCATGGTCCCCATAAGCCACACCTGGGGATCCTTCCCATCTCCTCTCTCGCCCTATTCCACTTGGGTTCCTGAGATGGTGTGGGGCAGAAGAGGTATGACACCTTCCCTCACCCCTCATAAGGGTCATGGCCAACACTCCTATAACAAAGACAGGTTAAGAAGAGAAAAGCACAACAAATTTATTTAATCAGAGTTTTACGTGCCATTGGAGGCTTCAGAAATGAAGACCCAGAGACCCAGGGAAAACTGTTCATTTTTGTGCTTAGATTCGATGAAGACTAGATGGCTGCGTAGAAATATGATTGGACAAAAAGCGAATGATCTAACAGCAATTGCCTGAGTTAGGAACCCAGCAAGGCCTGTCTGTCCAGGTTCTTCTGGGCCTCTGTGTGGCACTCCTTCCTCTGGGGTATAGAGCAGGACCCCTCTGGAATGAGGGTCTTATGATCTACAATCAGACAAGGTAGGTCAAAGAATTTCTTTATGGTCAGCTGCTAGACAGAAAGGTAGGGGAAGTTTAGAGTAATATTTCTAGGTTTTATGGCTGGCTCTAGTTTCTATGACCCACTTTGGGGAAGAAGAATTCTGGTTTCAATGACTCGCTTTGGGGGAAGGGAGGGGCAAGATGCAGGAAGGCAGGAGAGGTCAGAGAGAACGTGATTCTGAAGCTGCTGCTGAGGCCTTCCAATGTCCTTTAGTTCACAGTCCTCAGCATGCCACAGCGCCATACTTTGGGGTATTGTTTTCTGAGCCCCAACTGTGGAGTGGTATAGAGACCCCCTTTACCTCACTATGTCTCAGCCTACTAGTGGCCCTATGACCCTCTGCCACCTGTACTGTTGCAGGGAGTTTAAAGAATGGCCACAGGGTCCTGGCCATTGTGAAGGTGGCAGGAGCATCTAGTGGCTTAGCTGCCTCTTTGCCCAGTCTGGAAAGCCCTTGAGTGTAGCCAGAGCCACGTATTGATTCAGACAAGTCTCACAAAATATGCATGACACCTAGGGCCCAGAGTGCATGGAGGAGTGTGTCCCTGGCAGGTGTTCAGCACTTCCTCCTGCCGTCACCTCTCGTGCCTCTTCCAGCTCCTTGCTGTTGCCAGAAGGACTACATTTAATCTTGAGTGGAGGAAAGCGCACGTGCATGCCCCCAGCATAAATCCAGACTTAAGGAGGGTCCCCTCTGATACATAACAGAAAAGAGGACGCAGAAAATTGAACAGCAGAAAGAAAAAGTATAGCCCAAGAGCTTCTAAAATCCTCTCTGGAGGCCCAAATTCCATGTTTTTGATATTCAGCAGAATTGAATACGTGGGGGAAGCTCAGTTCTAAATCACAGCTTCTGGACTCTTCAGTCACCCATCCCAAAGTGGTTTCTTCCCTTTCTGTTTGTGTTCATTCCTTCGGCCACAGATAATGGCTCAGCACCTATCGTGACCCTGCTCCCAAGGATTCAGGGCTGACTGTGCTTTCCCCTTGTCTTTCCCGGGTGGCCACGGCTGGCCACAGCTGGCCACGCAGATGCCCCCCACCATGGTCCATGAGAGTGGCAGGTAACCCTGGGAGCCGTGCAAAGTGGCCCAGCCTGAGGATCCTGCCGATTGGTTGTGTTGGCTGGGGTCATCCCTTCTCCTCAGGATGTGTCAAGAGCTCAGGCTGCTGGCATTGGAACTTGAGAGGAAAAGAGAGACTCTCCACTTCTTTTGTGTCCTGTGCCCCCTCCCATCTCTCTAGAGGAGGGGGCGCTTGCATCATAGCATTTTTGCACAGCACACAGAGTGCCAGTTAAGTAGCCACGTAGTGGAATTTATACTGGAGCTTCAGGATGTGGAACAGAGAAGCCCCAAAGCGTCACCCTGGATCCTTCAAGGAAAGACTTCCATGACAACGTAAAATAGTTTGAAGTCCCCTTAGTTATTTTCTTCTGGGCGACTGTACGAGATGAGGAAGGGCCGGCACCTCCGGGGGCTGGACGAGGCATGGCCAGCAGCGCATTTTGCTGCAGCTGGAAGATCTCTGTGGCAGGAATTGCCTCTCTTTCTCCTTTTCTAACCCAGCCTCAGCCAAGCCCAGGGCTCCATTCACACTGGTGGCCCATGGGGACAGTTGTATGCTGGGTGCCAAGGGACCATGTATGGCTTGTCCACAGGGCAGGAGCCACGTAGTTCTGATGCAGGGAACCCTGCTGAGTTACTAGACCTCATTCTTTTCCCTTTTCTGTGCATTTTCCCAGAATGGTGACCATCGCTCCATGCCACCTTCTCCCCCCTCTCCCACACCTCCCCTGCACAAATCTTTGTCACCCCTGGCTTGACACCCTCTGCGGCATGGCAAGGTACGAGTTAAAAATCAAAACTCAGCACAGAGCGTGCCCCGTACATTTTTTATGAGCAGTAACGTCTCCTGAGAGAACGTAGTTGTTCTTCTGACCTGCAGATTGATGATGCTGGTTCCACACAGTGTCAGCTGAAGGCAGAAGCAATTAAAAGACAGCACAGTGGGGGGTTGCCAGGTTTGCCTGGAGAGCTCCCACCTGCAACGATCGCCCGGAGTCCCAGGAAGACCTCGGAAGCTTCACTGGGCCCGGCGGGAGCCACCGCTAACCAAACCCATGATTCATCGGAGCAGAGGTGCCTCCACGGCGGCCGCCGGGTGCTGGTGCTGGTTGCATCGCAGGCACCGGGAAGCCCAGCCCGGCCCGCGCCCCGGTCAAGTTTAATCTTCCCGAGTCTCCGGCCGGCCAGCAGAGGGCGCAGAGACGCTTCCTGCTGCCCGTCTGCGCCGAGGTTGCTTTCCTCGCAGAATGACCCAAAGGCGGTATTTTCTAACCATACAAATTCTAGAGTATGAAAAGAGATGTGAGCTGGTCCCTGAGGGACTGCCCAGACCTCCTGGCAGGAGGCAGAAAGATCCACGGCCACTTGGTTTCTCTTGCTGCAGCCAGCCTTGAGCAGGAAAGCCCATTCCCCGTCGGCATCCAGGGAGCAAAGGGGCCACCTGGGGCGGTCCCTGCACGCCCTCCGGTCCCCTGTCCACCACGGCTTCACTCCCTGGTTTCTGAGCCCCGGCTGCCTCTCCCCAAAGGCCTGCATTTCTACGCCATGAACATGGATCAAACACCGGCACGCGGCTGCCTCCCTGCTGCGCTGACGGCTGGTGGCGACCAGGGGAGGCGGGACAGGTGGCCTCCCCGATAGGAGCGAGTCCTTGCGGCCTGCCGGTCAGGACAGGCAGGATGGGTGGAGCTGACGCTGCTGCTGCTGGCATTTCACTGCCCCCGTCCCCCATCCCCGTGTCCTCGGGGAGGAGCGCTACCTGCAGGCCTTTGATAAGAGCAGAAGCTTCAGCGAGCCTCAGTGGGCCTCCCATCCGCCGTAGATGTGCGCCGAGGACCTTTTGTGGCTCCGTGGGAAGGGAGGTGGGGGAAGTGTGGCCGGAGCTCCCAGCTCAGGCAAACACAAGCCGAAGCCTGCTCTGAATTTCAAATTGACACAATGGTTCTTCAGAGCCAGTGATGGTAAACACTTATGGGATGTCAGGATGCTGTTGTGACAGCACTTTTGCTGTCACCTGAGAGGGATAAGGCAGGTCATCTCCAAGGCAGCCAGAAGGCTGGGGAGAGTCCCCGTTGTGCAGGAGGAGAAAACTGCTGTCTACTAAATGTCACTATACACCTTCCCCCTCTTCCTCCTGTCCTGTCTCCCACCCACACCAGCATGCCAGTTGCTTTTCCTTGAACTTGTAATGTAATTTCAGCTCTATCTCACAAAGAGCACCTTTCATTTATTTATTTACTTATTTTTGTTAAAGTTTCTTAAATTTGATTTTAAGATTTGCATTTACATTAGCTCCAGACCTTCTCTGTATCCAGCTAAGTGATGTGCATTAATGTGGCTCCCAAATAATTCTGCAAAAGGGACCTGGAGGCCCCAGGAGCCACAGGGAGGCTGCAGAGCTCAGAAGCTGCCAGGCTTTTCAGGGCCTTCCCAGAAGGATTCAGTAGCTTCCCCTCAGTGCAGATTGGAGCACAGAAGACCCCACGTGACAGTGATGGAGGGTCAGGAAATCACTGGTTGTCATCTATGTATGAGGCACTGCAGGGGCCTGGGAGGTGTGGGAAGGATGCTGGCCCCACAAGTTGCTTCCAGCCGAGGATGCAGCCCAGAGGCGCTCCCTGAGAGAGGGCTGTTCTCCCGTCTGCCCAGCATGTGGCTGTGGAGGACTGGCTGACTTAGTCTGTGGCGAATTGCCCCTTAGCACTCTGTCCAGTCCTTTGAAAAACCAACACCAGCTTCTTTTTATAGAGCCAGGTTACCTGAATTTTTCACCTGCCTATCAAACACTGTCTTCAGACAGAGAAAAACCTGTAGGAACTCTCATCACCAGATAGCATTCCGGCCACCTCCTTCATTTCATGGCAGACCTTAGTTCCAGAGAAACCCCCAAGGAACGCAGGAAGTGGGCCTCAGAAATGGAGGAGACCCGCTCCCCAGCTCGACTTTCAAGGGCCCACCAGAACTACTCAGCAGTTTAACAGCTCCTTCCAGATTCTGCCTTCCCCACCCCTCTGGACCCTGGCTAAAGAAGCGCTGTTGATTTCCTGTCCCCTGGGAGACAGAAGGACACAAGCATCAAGGACCTGGGCAGAAGGAAACAGGGCTGGTGCTGAAGGGCAGGTGGCAACAGATGGAAGTAGAGAGAGCCCCTGGCAGCATCTGCCCAGCCCACCTGAGGAGGAGGAGACGGCATTGTAGAGATTGTACCTGGCCAGCACTGAACCTGTGGCCAGCACATGGACCCCTCCTCAGCTCCCATCCCCTGCATGGGAAGTTTTGAAGACCTGTGCCATGTATCCCTCTACCTAATTTGTGCCCATTTTGCAGATGAGGAAAGAGACACCCAGAAAGGTATGACAATTCAAGACATAGTCAGGATGAGGGCAGAACTGTTTCCTGGTCTGACTGAGTGAAGTCGTTAAGGCTCCTTCCCTGCTTTCACTTGGCTGTTCAGGATCAGTGAGAGAACTGTGAGGGTTTTCTTTAAGGAGATCCTTAGAATCCTAGATGGCAAATCAGGGGACAAGTTGGAGCCCAGCATTCTGGACACACACACACACACACACACACACAGACACACACACACACACAGACACACACACACCCTCCCTCTCCATGCATTGTGGAAATGGGGGTGCATTACCTCTCTCGGCCACTGAGTGGCACCTTTGGGCCATGAACTTGGCTCCAAAGGCATTTGTCTGAACAGCAACAAAAATATGCTTAACCTTTTTAAAAAAACAAGTACATCTTAGTTTGGGTGAAATTTGATGACAGACTGAGTGCACTTTTCACCATGTCGTGGTTCAGCTTTTCTTGCTCCTCCCTTCTCATTGACTAGACTCCATGCGATTCCTGTGGTCGTGGGAACCACACAGCACAGGACCTGTCCTCTTCTCTCATTGATGGGGAAACTGGCCTGTTCCGTTCACAGGGCAAAGGGTGTGCTGCCCGGACCCTGGTCCTGCCGAAAGCCTGCTTTGGAACCATCCCCAGGACCTGGGAGTTATTGTCCAAGCCTTGGCTCTGGTTGCTGCTGCTCTCAGCAGAAAGGAGCTCACAGTGCCTCTCCTGGTGGCAGCTCCCATGCAGATGCTGGGAGTAGAGAGAGGCAAACATGGGAGTGAGCAGGAGGCTTTTCTTTCTGGCACTCTCTGGAGAATCTTTTGGCAAAGAGTCCCCCATGTATACCCTTTCAGCTTTGTTCCAGATGAGCCCTTCTCCCATCTGAAAGCCACTTATTGAGCGCCTACTACATGTCAAGCACCATGGTGAACACTGATGTGAATCAGCTCAGTTTCTCAATCTATGACGAGTGTCTGGTTCATTCCAGCTCAAATATTCTTTATGATTCCAGGATTTTGCCTGCTCTGTGATGTTTCTTTCGTTTTGATCCCAACCAGATTCGACAAAGGGACTCACATTGTCTGTGTAGTAGCTCGTATGTAGAGCAGTGGTTCTCAACCAGGCGTGATTTCACCTCCCAGGGGATATTTGGTAATGTCTGGAAACATTTTTAGTTGTCATAACTTGGCGGGTGGGGTGCCGTTTAGGTATATAGTGGGTAGAGGCAGAGGCTCCTGCTAAACATCCTACGATGCGCAGGACAGCCCCCACGGTGAAGAATTATCTAGCCTGAAATGGCAATAGTGCTGAGGTTGAGAAACCTTGATGTAAAGGGAGAGAAATCTCTTTTTGGGAACCAGAAGCAAGTTGCTCTTCTTTTCCACAATAGGGAAATGCCCTTTGTATTTTTGGCAGTCCCAATGGTCTTTGTGACCCATGGCATCACGGCAGCCTGGGTGATGCTGCAGAATAAACTTCATGGGACATCAGCTCTGGGATCATGGCCAGCAGGGTCCAGATGCTGAGCCCCCTGGAAGTGACCATGTTTCTGCTCCCACTTCAGGTTCTGGCTGGCTGTCCAAGATCTCAAGAAACAACCCCTACAGGATGTGGCCAAGAGGGTGGAGGAAATCTGGCAAGAGTTCCTGGCTCCAGGGGCCCCAAGTGCAATCAACCTGGATTCTCACAGCTATGAGATAACCAGTCAAAATGTCAAAGATGGAGGGAGATACACATTTGAAGATGCCCAGGTTTGCTTATCTACTTGAATGGTTGTGATGTAAGGTGTTTCTATCTACTTCACCACAGGACCCTCTAATACAAGTCCAAGGTATTGTTGGTAGTTAGAATTTCAAGCTTTATTATTTTTCAGTCCACCAAAGGAAAACATTCCACATAGGTGTACAAAGAAATTCCCAGATTATTTGCCTAGATTAGTTATGTTACTACACAGAAACAGAAATGTACACTTATATGCTTTATCTTTTCCAAGAAAACTCAAAACATTTTACAAAAGCTGAAGACTTGTATTAGGTCAATAGTAGAATCGGGGAACCATAACACAGCATGGGCAAAGTGGGTACAGTGAGCTGGCAGGGGCATGAGTCGACCCCCCGTCTGTCTAACTGTGAAGCCCACCCTCATAACCACGACTCTGCGCTGCTTCTGTAGAGATTCCCAGCTATGAGTGCATATTTATGTGCCAGGCTCTGTGCTATGTGCCAGGCTCTGCGCTATGTGGTGAGACACCGCAAAGAACAGAAAAAGCCCCTGCCCTAAGTAAACGGGCAATTGCAACAGCATGAGAAATGCCCCAAAGGGCTGAACTCTGGGGTTAAAGCAAGCCAGCAAGAGGGACTCCCTACCCTGTATGGCACAATTAGGATTCTCACAGATGCCAGAGAAGCTGGTGAAAGACACAGAGCCACAGGAACCACCCTAGACAGTGGGCTTAATCTTCAGGGCTGGGAGGTGCCATTTCTAAGATGAGCATCAGATCAGTTTCTTACTTCCTGGCCCCTAATTTTATTTTCTCCCACCACCCCACACCCAGTGACAGGGCTTAAGATTTTGCTCCTATCTCCTCAACCCCACTCCTCATTCCTCTCATCCATGCAGTTCCTGGCAGAGAATTTGAGTAGTTTGTACTCCCGTGGATGTTATTATCTAATTTAGGAAACTCACTGTAGCTGCACCAATGTGAGTAATGGCATGAGTACACAACCAGTGTCCTTGTCATCCAACGTGCATTGTCATTTGCTCAGAACTTCAGGATGGTAACATACCAACTTTAAAACCATAACTGTCTTTTCTCATCCCCTGGTAGTGAACTCCATTGAATGCCCGTGCCAGGCAGATTTGGTTCTCTAGAGTTCAGTGTCTTTGCTTCATGAAATCACAAGTCCCTCACACCCTTTGCAGCTCCAAAGTAGAATATTGCAGTAGGTTGACATTTAAGTGTCTTTTAATCTATAGATTCTCTTTCTCTCTCTTCCCCTCCCTGACCCCTTACAGTTTATCTGATAAAGGAATTGGATCCTTTGTCCTGTAAAAATTTCCAATCGTCTGAGTTTTTCTGATTGCAGCCCTGCAGTGCTATTTAGCATGTTCTTCTATCATTTGCATTTCCTGTAAATTGGTTGTTTGATTTAGATATTTAGTCAGATTTAGATTTTTATTTTGTTTTATTTTTTAGGTTTGGACAAAACTACTTCATGGATTGTGTCGTGCTCTGTTGCCAGAAGGCACATAATGTCCAGTTGTCTTTTTTTTGTGATTTTAGCAACTATTGAGGTTTATTGCTTAGATCCATTAGTGAATTAGGGCTTACAGAATGGTGATGTTCTTATTTTATCATTCTTTCTTTATTTATTAGCTGTAATACTTCCATAAAGAGAAATTTCTCTCAGTCACTATTTGATTACCAGTAGTAGTGCAGTTCATATAAGAAAGCCAGGATAAATGATTCTTTCCCTTTATTTACCAGTTTTCAAAAGAATGAGTCGTTTACTATCATTTTCCTGTGGTTATCAATTAGAGTTTTGGAGGGTTTTTTTTTTTTTTAGTATTTTTGTAAACTCATGAGCTTAAACATATCTGATGTGTTTTAATCCATTTTGCTTGTTATTTTTATTGATGCTTAGATTGTGCCACCTCTGGTCAGCTGGTCCTTCTGACATGACCCTAGAAGTCTCTGGTATCATCCAAATAGCAAGGAAGCTAAAATGTTCCAGGCTCTGCCCTAGACCTGGAATAAACCATGTCTCCAAGGGTCCCTGATTCCTTAGTGGGAAATGGTTTTTAGAGACCACAATATGGGCACTTAGAAGTGCTAATTGTCTCTGGGTTAGTGATCATTTCTAGGACTTTTCAATGGACAGAGCTAGGGAATATGTTGTTGTTTGTAGTAAAAACATATCACGAGTTTATACTGATTCTTTCAACTCAAAGTCAGAACTACAGGGGATTGTATTTAACCTCTCCTTTCTTAGATCTGTGCCTCCTTTCTCTATGCTGAGAATCCTGGTTCCTAAGGACACCGTGGATGGTAGCATAATCACTCATTTGTTTTATCTTGCATTACCACAGGGCAGCCTCAAAACCGCAGTGCCAACACTGCAGCAACCATATGATGGTTCCCAGGTTCTTTCATTGCCGCGTGGTGTTCCATTGTGTGAAGGCACCGTGGTTTAGTCAGCCAGTCCTCTCTTCTTGGACATTTATGTTGTTTCTAACTCAAGGAAGACTTGATAGGTGAACTTGGGAAGTCAGCATACTGTGCCTTGACAAGTTTCTGAACACCCAGCCTTTATCAGTAGAGTGCTCTGCAAATTTTCCAAGTAAATTATATATTATATCTCATTATATTATATCTCATTCCCACGGTAACCTTGTATGGTAGACTAGACATGAGGCTGTCTTACGCATCCCTAACTTCCCCATTATCTGCTAGAATTGGTCTCCCATGAATTCAGATAAAACACGCTTTCTTAGCCAGTTACTATTTTCAGCCTGCTCCCTATTATTTCTTAAATGTGTTACCACCATAAATATACAAAGTACTCCTTATTAGCAGAGCAACCTTGGGCAAGTTACTTAAATTTTCTGAGTCTTCCTTTGCTCATCTGTAGAGCAGAGAGACAATGGAACGCATGCATGGGGTGGAGTGGGGATTAGGGGAAAGGAAGCACAGCAATAAGTAATAGAGTCTGGCCCACAGTAAGATAAACCAAATATTTACTAATTTATTCTCCTAATGTCATTAATATTCTATTTTTATGCTTGTATGTTTTACATATTTGGTGAAGAAACCCGAAAATTGCATGTGATCTTAGCACCCAGAAATAACCCCTATTTTGGTATATTTTCTTCCTCAATTTGTGTGTGTAGGTATGTGTTAGGTCTGCTCAGGCTGCTATAACAAAATACCACAGACTGGGTGGCTTCAACAATGGACATTTATTTCTCACACTTCTAAAGTCTGGTAAATCCAGGATCAAGGTGCCGGCAGGTTTGGTACCTGGTGAGGGCTCTCTTCTTGGCTTGCAGACAGTCACCTTCTTGCTGTGTCCTCACATGGCAGGAGAGAGAGCGAGCCCTGGCCTCTCTTCCTTTTCTTATAAGAACACTAATCCCATCATGGGAGCTCCTCTAAACCTTATTACTTCCCAAAGGCCCCACTTCCAAATACCATCACATTGGGGGTTACAGCTTCAACAATATGAATTTGGGCGGGACCCAAACATTCAGTCCATAACAGGGTGATTATGCAAAGAGGGTGATTCTGCAAACTTCCTTTTACATTAAACCAGTGGTCAGTTAAAAAACTATTTCTATAAAGAGCCATGTAGTATACATTTTAGGCTTTGTGGGTCATATGGTCTATGTCACAAGTATTCAATTCTGCCATACAAAAGCAGACACAATGTAACAATATAACAATGTAAACGTGGTAAGTGGGCATGGCCATGCCCCCAAAATCTTTATTTATGGGCAGTGAAAGTTAATTTCCTATAATTTTCCACAAAATATCATTTAAAAAAAATTTTTTTTCAATGATTTAAAAATGTAAAAAACATTCTTAGCTCATGGGATATAAAGATGTAGACAGTGGGCCAGATTTGAACCACATGGTGGTTTGTGACCCATGTACTAAACAATATATCATGAAAACTATTGAAATGCTTCAGTAGTTTTCAATACAGGATAGAGGCTTGGGAACAGTTAATCTTCAGTTTCTCTGGGGAGAGTATGTTTGAGGAGACTTCACTGTGGTGCATTCACAGCAACACAGCAGCCTCTGCGAATATTCTACGTCAGGGTTGAGTGTTTCAGAGCAGAAGTTGGCCATGACCATGATACTCACACTGCCTCACCCTTCCTGGCCAGCAAAGCAGGCACAGTTCAGAAGTCACCAGGTGAGGAAGGGAGGTTAAAACCCTCAGCAACTCGTGACCAGCAAGGACCTGCACTCAGATCTCCCGATTTGCTGGCCAAGACCACACTGTCCCTGGATTGGTAGAACTGAGGGTTTGGTTGTTGCCCTGAGACCTGGAGAAACTCTGGTCCCTAGAGAAGGGCCCAGAACCAGGGAGCAGGCTCTGATCCTGTTTCTGCTGTACACTTTTTCTGGAATTGCTCATTTAAATCCTTTAAACTTTCTCTTCTCGGTCTGCCCATCTGCTAAGTGGGGAAGGTGACACCTAGCCCTTCGAAGCCCCCATAGGGATCAGAAGCTCTGGGTTGCTTGCTCAGCCGGTCAGGATGGTCCTCAGACACCCCCTAACAATGGTCATGTGCCCTAATGTCAGTGGTCAGTAGCCTGAATGAAGGCCCAGCCAGATTTATGGATTCGCTGGAAGGGGTGCTGGGGGTGGGGTGCAGCCTCTTTCTGAGGACTCTGGTTTTTATTTGACCCCATGCATTGTTGGAAAAATGTTAATTGCCTGTGCTTGCTTCCTGTGGAAATGTTTCACCAGACACCCATCAGTATGGGCCCGGCATTTGCACTTGTGTTTTGCTGATCCATTTGGCTTTTTCAAAAATCTGGGCCAAGACCAAATCTTCCATAAAGTTCCGTGGGCTGTGACCGTAGCCCTCAGCTGTCCGCTGTGTTGTTCCAGTTTCACAGATTCAGCCTTGTGAGGGGAGGGGAAAATGGGCCATTTTTTGTTTAAGGACTTGGGGTTTTACGCTAGGAATTGAATTCGCTGTTCTCAACTGTGGGCATCAGAGGACCTGCACTGTCACC